GGCACATTAGTTTTTAAAAACTTGATGTATACCTAAGGGGGAAAAATGAATTAATGAAGAACATTCCTGTACATGATGCAATTGTTCAGTATTTAACGGAGCACACTGTGCTTTAAAATGCCCTGAGTAGCTTCCCTGTTCCTCTTGTCAGCACTTTAAATTGTCCTACTTAATTTCGACAGCATACATTTCTCCTTTCTTGGAGCAGTGTCAGTATGAATTCCTTGGTGCTGGAAGCAGCAAGATCTCAAGATCAAATCAAATACACTCTAATTTTTAAAGGGAGGGGAAGGAAATATTTATATATTTTGTTCAGCTGGAGAAGCCGTGTGGTTTATAAGAGAGGAAAAGTATGGGTCTTGGATGTGTTGATATCAGTCTTCTGAAAGGAAATGCGGAGTACAATAATTCATTGTCTTAGATTGGGTGGGTGCTTGCATGTCCTTGTTAGAATTTTAACAGCTTTTTCCAGTGTATGGTGGGAACCTAAACAGTATTGAAAGTACTTAGAAGAAGGAGGCACATCATTCATGTAGACTCAATAATATGATTGACATTCTGGTTAATTAAGAAGAAATTAGTGCAAGTTTTGAGCTATTAATTGCAAACCACTAATGCTAATGAAACATTCAAGTTGAGAAACCAAGCCCTCAAGACAGAAAATTCCAAAAGTTAAGGTTTGCTTTGCTTTATGTTAGCCATGTTTCATGGCAAATAGACTTTATACCAGTATTTGTTAATAACAAACAATCCATCAAAGTTAACATTTGATAATGCCGACTTTAGATTGTTAGATCCCTCAACCTTAATGCTATGTTAAGAGCAGTATTTTTGTATCCTTTCATTTATTTAACAGACTAAAAGACAATTTCTGAGCTGTTCTACTTCCAGAATGTCTCTCATTTCCTCCCCACTCTGAGTCCTATAAGCACAGACTGTTCAGAACTGAAGTCGCCATGTTACAGAGACGCATCCTTGCTGGCTTTTAATGACCAATTTTAAATGATCCTAACATATTAAAATGGCAAACAATTTAATACAATGAGATCTTCAAAGCAAACCACTTTTGAGGATTCAGCCACATTTCAATTATGGGGGGGGGGGAAGAGTGTATCTGTCATCCTATTTACCCACAAACAGAAACGTTCATAGCTCAGACAGCTAAACAAACTTTCCCAAAAGTTCCCACTTGAGCTGACCATATGTGGAAAACTTCTGAAGCAACTGAAGATGGACGATTAGAATGTAGTTAAATTTCAAACTTGGGACTGTAATAAGGGCAATCTGCTCTAGTCTTATTACTTAATATAGGTTGTCTATTTGGTGTTTAAATTGATGGTTACACAAAAAAGCAAAAGTTATACCTGCCCAATCAAAAAATGACGGTGAAAGGCTTCTGGCAGCATATCCATTGTTTGTCACACGAGAGAGAGAGAGAGAGAGAGATGCTGTCTCCTTAATATAGATTTCTCCACACTAGAACTAATGTTCATGGAATGTGCAACATCCTCTCATGTTGAATGTTTGCTTAGCATGCTCAGTGTCTGCTTAACATGCTCTGTTCAGTTTCACTATGAAATACCATTTTAAGAAGTTCAGCTCTATTAACAACTAATCTTGGCCTGTGATGAAGAATACAAGTTTTTCAAATTGATGAATAGAAACAAGATTTTAACTGGTAACATTTTTTTGAGTTGATGTGGTCAAGTATGATATTAAACTTCTAATTGAAAAGGCTTTTATCTTAAACCATAACACAAGTTATTATAGTAAAAATGAGAAGTTTGTTTAGCATTAGAATTCTTGGAGACATCGAGTTAAAACACCGTGTAATTGTTAATGTACTGGGAAAGAAAACAGTCTGCCCACCTCTAATTCTTAAAAAAGCAAAGTGGATTTGTTATGGTCCAGCAATCTTAAAGAAATGTTAGACAAGCACTTAACATATCCTCTCAGCCTAATGTTCTAGAAAACACCTCTTGCTTATGTCTCTTAAACACAGGTAGGGTTGAGTAAAACTTGCATTGAGAGGGTGTCCAAAATGAGTGTGGCAACATTTTTGCAGAAATGGATTAAAACAACTCACTAAACATTAAAGGATGCGAAAAGTCCCCAGAGTGGCCAGGGTATATATGTGGATATGATAGGTTGGTCCAGTATGACTGACAGAAGTATGGGGCAAAAATCCCAGTGACTTTCATAGGGACAGGATTACACCAAAGGAGTCAGATAGGGCTTAAAAGAAAGGGTAATGGCATTGAACTATATTTCTGGTTGATGGAGTGAGATTCTGAAGCCCTTTTCTCATTGTCCCCACCTTTGTTTTTGTTTTATCTGTTCAGGTGGTATAGGGAAAAAGGAGTGTTTTAATAGTTAATATTTAATATTAAATAGGCAGCAGATTTAAAACAAAGGAAGTATTTTTTCACACAACACACAGTCAACCTGTGGAACTCCTTGCCAGTGGATGTTGTGAAGGCCAAGACTATAACAGGGTTCAAAAAAGAACTAGATAAGTTCATGGAGGATAAGTCCATCAATGGCTATTAGCCAGGATGGACAGGGATGGTGTTCCTAGCCTCCATTTGCCAGAAGCTGGGAGTGGGTGACTGGATGGGTCACTTGATGATTACCTGTTCTATTCATTCCCTCTGAGGCACCTGGCATTGGCCACTGTCGGAATACAGGATACTGGGCTAGATGGACCTTTGTTCTGACCCAGTATGGCCGTTCTTATGTGCTTATTCAGCCTCTACTACAACTTCCTGGCTGAGTTGTGAAACAAAATGTTTTCCCCCTTTTGGTATAGTTCCTTTCTCCTATACTAACCAGCAACAGCTGTTATGGCTAGCTTTATCCCTCCACCAGTCAAGGAGGAGACAAATTTCGGTCAGTCAGCTAGGCTAGAAGTTTGAGCACTGAAGTGAAGGAGAAGGAGTAGCCTTGTTTGGCATCATCATGGAGACTACTGTTTTTTTTTTTTTACATAGATACATAATATCAGGATTTGATGTTTTAATTTAGGTGGAAGGTGATGCTCATTTTAAAGGTGGGGGAAATGGAAACAGGGAAGTTGAGACATATCTAAAGTTGTGCAGACTGGTATAGAACATAGGTCTTACGCCACTTGCTGTGCTCTAATCATTAGAGCTGGTGCTTCCTCCTATATTTTCTTCCTCTTGACCTTTATGACTTGCAGATACTTCCCCAGGACCAGTGCTACCATTAAGGCAAACTAGGCGGTTGCCTAGGGTGCCAAGATTTGGGGGCGCCAAAAAGCGGTGCCCCCAATTTTTTTTACAGCATTCTTACACCCCCTCCCTGAGCGCGCTGTTGCTGCTCCACTTCTCCTGCCTCCCAGGCTTGCGGCGCCAATCAGCTGTTTGGCGCCACAAGCCTGGGACGGGAGGAGACTTAGAGCGGGGGCGGCGTGCTCAGGGAGGAGGTGGAGCAGAGGTGAGCTGGGGTGGGGAGCTGTCGCATGGCTCCCCGGGGCGGGGAGCTGCCGCGGGGGGAGAGGGGGGAGAGGCTCTTCAGGGCGGGGGGAAAGCTGCTGTGGGGGGGGGGTGCTTCAGGGCAGGGGGCGGAGCTGCCGCGGGGTGGGGGGGCGCCTCAGGGTGTGGGGGGGTGGGGAGCTGCCGCAGGACTGGGGGGCGGGGAGGCGCGAAACTTCCTTCCACCGGCCCTGTACTTCCCTGACACTTTGTTGCTGATTTTTCCAATGAAGAATATAATTTTGGGTAGTTGTGATTGTCCTTGGTGCCACCAACAGTTTTAGAAGCATCACAGAGGGGAAGAAGGGACATATGGCCTTTCTGGAGAAATGTGCCTGGGTGGTGAAAGTGGGTGAGGGTGCTCCACTTAGATAACATATGTAGTGCCTATTGCTAAACGTGATAGTTAATTAAATTTTCAGGTCATCTTTCAGTTTATTTGCATTATGCTTTTACAATTGATTTGTGCATCAGAACATATCATTTTGCTCTTTAAGCTACTGAGGGCATATCCATTGCTACCGGTTACACTGTTGCTGTCCTCGAAGGGATGAGAAATTTATATTAGCCTTTAATTTGCAATAAAGAGGTCATGCCTGTAAGGCTTGCATCAGTATTATGGTATTGAATTATCAGGATCATGTTAAAATGAGTTAGGCTTAGTACACTTTATTGCTCCAATTTGTTGAAAATTTAAAACCATGCCTGTGTGCACAGTTTTTCTCGTCTCCTGTGCTTTGGTTTCTGTTCGGCATGGCTTAACAAGATTTTCCAGCTTTTTTTTGATGTTTAAACGAATACTAGGATGATGAAGGATAAAAACCATAGTGAATTGTTTTTAGTAATAACGTTTGTTCTTAATCTATATTGTATACAGGAAATGCAAATTCCATTTTTAGATGATTCTCACTAGATCATTTAGTAAATATTCACTATGGATGTTTGTAGGAAGAAACCCATGTCTAACTTAATTGAGAAAATCAATACAGCAGGGTATATTTTATCTCTGTTCAGTACAATGATTTGTCTACAAGTTTGTAAAGAATCCTATTCTTTTTTTTAAGCTAAAGATCCTGTCCCATTCTTTTACTATTCATTTCAAGCTTCTGTGATAGAAATTTTCTTGTGAAATATCCTTACTGTGACAGCAAAGGAAGCCCAGACCTATAGTTTTGCTATTTTTTGACAAATTAGAAAATTCTAAGATATTAAATTGTCAAAAATAACATGAGTAAAATCTATTTTTGTCCATGAAATAGCTCTCAAACATCCTGTAAGTAGCATACAGACTTTCCAAGCTAGGTATGCAAAATTATTCTCATGCCTCTGTACGCCCAATTTATGCAACAGATACCTGTTAGGAATTGATCCTGCCAATTGAATGGTAGCCCATAATATAGACTGAATCCAAATACTTTGCTGTACTATCTGTTCAGACAGAATGTTTTTGCCAATCCATACTTTTTCAAAATGTTTGTATACAATTTCCATTGTGTTTTGTAATAGTTGTAGGCAGGATGTGTTGATGATTCTTCCCTGGAATGAACAGAAGCATCGGGAAGAAGACTGGTGTGAAAACGCACAGTGCAAGTAGGTAGAGAGAGAGAGAGAGAGAGAGAGAGAGTGTGTGTGTGTGTGTGTGTGTGTGTGTGTGTGTGTGTGTAGTAGTAAAGTAAAC